TTATGGAATACAAAACATACATTGTTATTGTACTTTTTCATTAAAATAATTCATGTCTAGCAAATTCTCAAGGAACTCGTTGTTCTAGTCAAAATTATGAACCTAGGACCGATAAGGTAGCTAGACCAAACATCCTAAAAATAGCTAGTTTTGTTAGTAAACTGCCAATTAAATATGTAATTTCTAATTTACAAGAAAAACAGATTCTTACCATCAATTGGGATAAGCAATGACACTGCTTAAAAAATAATTATTAATTTGATAATAAATATTTTACAATTAACGGTTATAGTGCAAATTTTAAACTTGGACATTGTTAAATGACAATTAATTTCAAAATAGAGAAAGGGTTAAATATTTTTAAGTAGTTCTCCAGCTATATCTTGGCTATTAAAGCTGATTTGTTCAATCCGTTAAAAAAAGTCTTTCCATCGATTTAAATGCGAAAAAGTATTGTTTATATAGGAATATATATTAAGTTCAACAAGAATCTTTAACAATTAATATTTATAAAGCAATTTTTAAAAAATGAACTATTTCTTTCTGTCTAATCCCATGATTTTGGATGAAATTTATTTTTCTGTTGATTTCTGCACAAATCAACAAACCAAGTATGTCAAATTAATCCCTTAAGGGGCTTAAGCATAACGCGTAACTAGCATAAATTGATTTCATTCACATTTTTATCGGCGAAAAAAAAATTATAATTAAAAACTAATTTTAATATCAATATTTTACTTTTTCTACATTTTATCAATATTGAGCTAAATTGTTGAAAGGACTTACCCGAAAAAACTCGTCATTATGGAAACCAAAGCAAACGCTATTATTGCACTTTTTCATTAAAATAATTCATGTCTAACGAATCCAAGATTGTCAAGGAACGCGGTGTACTAATCGAAATTATGAACCTAGGACGGATAAGATAGCGAGACCGAACGCCCTAAAAATAGCAACTCCTGATTAATAGTTAAAACATTACCTCAAGCAGAACAGAAATATCAAAACTTTTTTATATTCGTCAAAAATTAAAATATGCAAAAAAAAGAACAGTTTTATAAAACGAAACCTTCAGACGCTTGCCAGCAAAAGTATCATTATTTTTTTGCGATAAACACGAATCTGTAAGCAAAAATTATTATACTTAAAGGAAATCAGGCATAATAAACTGATAATAAACTTTTCATTTAACCCGTTCTATGATTTCATGGTCAACCCGGCTAACAAGCTAATTTTGCATTCGTTAAATCCCAGATCATTAACTCTAGAGACATCTATTTACAGATCCAATCAAGCCTGTTGATTTTTTATAAAAAATCTTTGTACCTTTTTTGTTATTACAAATTTTAACTCAAAATGCATCCATTTGCAGATTTTTATCACAAGATTGTTCTTTCAATCTAAAAAGAGACGTTAATGTTATTTTTCTTGTGTAAAAATAAACAATAGAATAACTATGAATACTAAACAAGCCTGGTTTTGCATGCCGCAATAATAGAGATCTCTATCTATAAAAATCTCAAAAACAAATCAAGAATCAACCACGCAAAAGGTAAGGAATCCAATTGAAATTGTGACGGTTGTGAATTATTAAAGACCTCGAACTTGGCGCATATTATCTGAAAGAAGAAAGCCGTCAAAATTGTTGATTATTTTGCTTTAGTAAAACTATAACCTTATTTACAACACATATACTTGGAAAACACTGTTGTATTGTGAAGTGTAGCTAATTTTTCTTACAATTTATTTTCTCTACGCCGTCCCTTATTATTGGCAACCTACCATGTTTCAATAATACTATGAAACATTTTTTTTAATGGTCATATCTTCTTTCAGGTTTTGGAGGTAATTAACATGTACTTTGGTCATTTAGATCATCTTGGTCCACCTAGTCTTGCTGGTTTGGCTTGTGTTTCGGCATTTTTCCGTATTCACTGCCTGATTTGACACCATTCAGACATAAAAAGGCGCAGAGGCACAGGAAAAGTTTAGACGAAAGGCAAAAGATAGTTTAAGAACATTTAGGATTATCCTGCTCTTCTTGAATGGCCACAGTAAAACCGCGGAAGACAAAATATTGTCTACCAGACTAAAAACAGCGAGAATAGGCGGACCAGAAGTATTTTGGTCGTTAGATATGCCCTAATTAAAGGCAAGCACAAAAGATTAAATGTGAAAAAATATTCAATGTATGTATAAACTATCGAGCCCAACCACTGCAGGAGTTAAACGCAACAAATAAACAAAACTAGCGCAAATAGGCGGAACAGAAATATTGGGATCGTTAGATATTTCCTAGTTAAAAGCAAACACAAAAGGACCATTAAATATTAAGAAAATGTGGTGTCGGTGGCCGCAACAGTTTTGGCGTTGGCACGGCGATCATCACTGTAAGGTAAAGGGCCCGGGTTCGAATCCTGCGGTCCAGCGTTCGAACGTGACATACTTGCAATTGAGCTTTTTTCAAAAACGCCCTTTGATATGACCTCTGCTGTTGGGAACCCTCGTTGGAAAAGAAAAAAAATCAATACACTTACCAACAGGCAAAACCAGCGAGAATACGCGGACCAGAAATATTGGAGACGTTAGATATGACCTAGTTAAAGGTAACACAAAAGGATCTTTAAATATTAAGAAATATTCAATGCACTTACAAACCACCGACCCCAATCACTCAATACGAAACGCGATATATAGATAAACCAGCGAGAATAGACGAATCAGAAATATTGGGGACGTTAGGTACGACCCAGTTAAAGGCAAACAAAAAAAATACCACTAAACATTAAGAAATAGTAAATTCACTTACAAACCATAGAGCCAAACTACGCAAAATGTAAAACGTAACAGTCAAAACCAGCAAGAATAGGTGTACGAGGTTGATTTGGAAAGAACAAGCAATTTTTATGTGTCAATTAGTTAAATAATTTTAATATTATTATTGGTTTTTTTGAGGGGGGATTCAGTCAGAACATCCAGTTTTTATTCAATACATATATTTATTGGCCAACGTTTAGGAAGCTTTACTTCCTTTTTCTAGGAGGAACTTGAACCATCAATAATCGGTTTGCATTTAAAATCGATTAAACAAATAAAACCCCTTTTTACTCCCCCAGGTGAGCACCTATGTCAATTAAACCTACTACCTATACGTCAATTAAAATTACTGATTGAAGCCAAAATAAAAGAGAAAAATAATCATAATTAATTTATATAATTATTCGGAAATCGTGAGATGCGGTCTGGTGTGACGTAGGTTTCAGAAAAACATTTTCTTTATCGTCCCAATGTTTCGATCTTTATTGAGATCATCTTCAGGGCTCAAAGTGTTTGTCTTATGCGTAATTGTGCCATTGCTGCTTGTCGTGTTGAGAGTGCCACGCAAGACTGGCACAATTAAGCACAAAACAAACACTGAGCACTGAAGATGATCTCAATAAAGATCGAAACGTTGGCACGACAAAGAAAATGTTTTTCTGAAACCTACGTCACACCAGACCGTACCTAACGATTTCCAAATAATCATAGACTAACGGTCACTAATCACCACGCATTAATTTATATATTTTTACTTAAAAGCTAGGATATGGTCAAAACAGAAAAAAGAAAAACAGTCTCACGGGCTCTATAAATGTTATATTTTTAACGTCAGTAAGAAAATTAATTGTTGAAAATAAATTTTAAAAAAACTTAAACCGTTTATTAAACCGATGTCTTGATAAAGTAAGTAAAACTTTCGAAATATCTGCCCGTAAATTTATATGCATTGACTAAAAACTAGAAGTTCTGACTGAATTCGCAAAACAGCCATCAATATTTAAAAAAAGTCCTCTCATCTTAATTTCATCATCTCATCCTGGTCTTTCTAAATATTTTTTTTTCTTGTTATTGTTGATTTTTTATTTTTTTATGCCTTTTCAGGCTAATGGTATATTATGAACAATTAAAATTTCGAGTAGCGATCTGAAGAGTAAGGATTCTAGTCCCACCCCGACACATCTTTTCAACTTAATTCTTAATTATTCATAATATATTACATATATTTCATATCAACGACATAATATGGAATAATGCCAAAATGCGCCTGCCAGATTGAAAACAGCAAGAATAAACGGGACAGAACGAACAAGAACGATTAACTTATCAGTTCATCACCTGACAGACCCTAAGCACGTTTCACAAAGTGCAACAAACTTTTCTTAGTTTTACAATCATACGAATATTATTGGTCATAATGCCAATTCTAAATATTATTTTATTAAACATTCAGTATACTCATGAACTGTAATGATTGGAATGACAATCATTTTTCTGGGTCTACCGATTCTCGATGGCTTACATCACGACATATGTATATCCTCACTGAAAAAGTTAAGCAGAATAGGCGGACCCAGTGACTCTTTTTTTTTAATACAATAAAAACTTACGCTGGCGAAACAAATATTTGCTTATTAACAAAATTTTCTCTAGAAATATTTTATTGCATTTTTGTCATGGTCCTGCTGTCAAATATACGTGGTTATTTCCAGAATCCAGCCACTCAATGTTTTCCAGTTGTCGATTGACATACTTTCCCTTTAAAATTGTGTGCAAATCTGTAATCAGTAATTCATTTGGGACGATTGGTCAAAAAGAAATTTGCTTTTATGTAATAGGACATTTTTTGAAAATATATTATATTTCAGATATTAACAACAGAACACCTTCTATTTAATTCGATTTAATTTATATAAACTCTTAAGTTTGCAAAGCATATACTACAACCTTTCGAATGTTTTTTTCGTAATTCATCAGGAAAAAAGGTGTAAAATTGTGCTTCCGTTTTCGTATTGTCTCTGATTACGTCTACGTCATAACAACTCTGACAATTAAGACACTAAAATACACTACCTAATGCACTACGCTGTGTAATTTTTCGATTTTTCATCCCTTAATTCAAATTCACCTGTGTTAATTTGACAATAAAACCTGGAAAAAATAATCCTTGAGGTAAGACTTACTTAAACAAAGTGTGGAAGTTGAGAAGTGTTTCGCATGTCGACCGGTCAATTTCTTGGGTCAGACTAACAAAGGGTTGGTGCGGCCAGAGCGGGGCTCGCCGCCCCCACCTCGCGGCTTGAACAGCTTCAAATTCTTGACATTGTCATGCAAGGATCCTGGCACAATTTTTCAACATAATGAGTCTTCATGTTTTCAGCCGATGACGTCGGTGTTTCTCGGTGACCGATTAAATAGTTGAAATTTTTCCGTCGTATTCGACGAAAATCTGATAGAAATGATGCGATTAAATCGTCCGTGTTCTGTCAAATTGTGGATAATGTATATGCATTATGCAATGTACCAGGCACAAAGATGTTTACCTGTTTAAACAAGGAAAAGATTAAATATTTGAATTTCGTGTGTGCCGGATAAATTGGCAATTCTATATAATTTCCAAGGGTTTGACAACTTAATAATAATCATCCCTTAAAACACTATTGACTCTTTATTAAACCGTTCGAATAAAATATAAAAGTTTCGTGTATATTTTAAGGTTTGCTTTGTGACATATACCCTGACATGCAAAAAATTCCGCCCACTTGTAATATAACTTGGTTTGTATATATTATTGTATATTAACCAAAGGTTCAAGTTTTTTAGCGTTTAATAATTGAGTCTTTGTCTAAAAAAGCAAAAGAAAAGTGAATTGCTAAGGAAAATGAAAAATAAAATTTAAAAAAAAGACGGACAGATAAAATTTGTTTTAATTTTGTTTTAGATTTTTAATTAACGTTTCAATAACGCGTATTTCCTCCTCTTGCCTTAATTACTTACATCTTGAAGACGCGTCGGCATACTTTCTACCAGTCTGGAAATGTCTCTTTGCTATAGGTAAGTCCATTCTCCACGAAGAGTCCTTTCCAGATCGTGGAGTGTATCAGGAAGTGATGGACGTGCTCTTGTTCGTCTTTTGAGGTTATCCCATAAATGTTTGATGGAGTTCAAGTCTGGAGAACGGGCTGGCCAGGCTAAGACCCTGATGTTATGCGGTTGAAGGTAGGTTTATACTATAGGAATAGGATTATCACTGATTCCATCGAGGATAGGCAATTCATGATGTTCCAAAATTTCATCCACATAGTGAGTGCCGATAACGACCCTCCACGAACAATAACCAACTTTGTGCGACTCTCCATTGAAATTCCCGACCCCAAGGTTGACTCTGGAAAAAATTGTAGGCTTCGTACCTTTCATTTGCCTTCTCCACACTCTTTCACGCCCATCTAGAGATCGTAGAGCATATCTACTCTCATCTGTAAAAAGTACAGCAGACCTATCGTCCAAACACCAATGGCTGTGTTTCTCTTGAAAATGTGATCCGTACAACTCTGTGCGTTCTGGTCAATTCTAGTCCTCTTACTGGGGGCAAACCATTACTCCATACTGATTTAATCTTCTTCGGGCAGTGCGTTCAGATATTTGGACACCTCGAACTTCCTGGAGCTGACGAATCGCTTGAACAACAGTAAGGTGCTGGTTTCGTCAAATTCTCAAAGTCATCCTGTCCCATGAAGACCCGGGTCTTCTAAGGTAAGACCCAGTTTCCCGAAAACGTCTAACGGCGTATCCCAGTGTTTCGTAGGGAACTCCTATGTCATTAGCCGCATACATGATGGAACGTCCATCATCAATAAGTGCCACACCATGCACAACATCCTCAGCACTAAGTGGCATTTTTAATTTTAAAAATTAAAATGAAGAAAACAAATAACACTAAACACTTTATTGCTTCAGAATTCAAATGAGACTGAGTAAACATTTTAAATTCCTTAAAAATAAATATTGAAAAAACCCTTTATCCTTGTTTTACTTTTTTTAAATTAAAGATTAAGTGTGTTTACGTCTAATTGATATTCCCAATTTAAAACATAGCCTAAACAAATATTTATTGATAAAAACAATGAGACAAATTAAGGGAAGAATTTTCTTTTATCGAGAAAATGAAAAAAAAATCAATTGGGTCGAATTTTTTGCCTGCCAATAATTTCCCATAATCCTGTCTTTGCTAGTTATTGCTCGTTGTAAATTGTTTTTATGGCGTTGGTCCCAAGATCCCACTTCATTTTATCATTTTATTGATCTTTGCTAACATGTAAGTTAGTTTTTATTAGGCGGGCTACCGACAATGAAGCCATATCAGCCAATGAACGGTAAGGCTCGATGGGGTGGTTACTTGATAGTCCACTATCGGCCTATCACTCATTCACAGTTTCACGGTGTTACAGGGTTAAATGTCAATACTGCCATGGTTGATTAACTAATTAAACGTAGTTCAGTCCCACCAGAACGAGGTGACTCTTCCCTAATATATCTTGTCTCTTTCCTAAGATTTTTTGTTTTTTACATAAAATCGTAATTAACGTCGTAAATTAACTTTAACGTCATTAAATTACAAATCTGACGTCCGAATTCACATTAGCCGCTCATAACAAAAGGGAAAAACCCAGGGTTTTTTTTTTTCGGAAATACTGAATTGTGGCTCGTGCGATGACTTTTCCATCAAAATTTTTGAGGATTTCACCAAAGCTGCCTTATTTTCAGCCATCAAACGAGTTTATTTTCAGTTTCACAAACTGTTCACATGATCAGGAAGCTATATCAAAATGTGTAAAAAAAACACTGAATCTCATTAACATAATAGGACAAGACAAAATGGGTAAACTTTTGAGTCTCCTCCTCAGCGAAATCCGTAAGGAGCCGAAGACTGATATGAAGAAATGAGAAATATGCACCCCCCCCATGTTACATTTATTTATTGGTACAAAATTATCACACAATAGGTTTTGGACAATTTTAATTTTATCACAATTATAACCATTAGCTAAATATCGCAAAACCATTGAGAGAGAAAATAACCTAGGCAATTTTTAAATGAGTAGATAATTATTTGGTACATTGTAATCGATATTTAAAAAATTAGAAAATAAAACTCTTTGGTTTTTCTTATTCCCAAATATTAGAGGCTTGGCAATTTGGTAAATATGTTCTGCTGTTTGACTATTACCACGTAGACATTAATTTGGAAAACATTCTTCATTCTGTTACAAATAAAAAAATATCTATAGTAAGCATAATCCAAAGTCCTATAAAATACTGATCATTTCGATGATCCAGTTATTGACCCTCCAAAAAGCTGTCGTTTTAATCTAATTAGTCGTTTAAAAATGATATTCACATGATCAGGAAGCTATATCAAAATGTGTAAAAAAAAACACTGAATCTCATTAACATAATAGGACAAGACAAAATGGGTAAACTTTTGAGTCTCCTCCTCAGCGAAATCCGTAAGGAGCCGAAGACTGATATGAAGAAATGAGAAATATACATCCCCCCATGTTATATATTTCAGTTACACAGGTCAATAATTGATGACATATCAATAATACTGATTTTGCCCTATCCCTCTAATATGAGCATGACGAGAGGATCGGGATAAGTTAATTGTGAAATTTTATAGTCTAAGACGAGCATTCCAAGTAAATCTCTTGTCTATAATAAAACCAATATATTTTAATTACTTAACTAAATTTATAGAACGTCCCTTCATTTTAAATTTATTGGCGTATGATCTCTTTTTCGTGTAGTTAACGAGTTGCATTTAGAAGTGTTAAAAGTTTGTCACGTTGGACTTGTAATTTAGCATTGTAACAAATTTCAGAAATTTGGCGTTCACGGAAACATTTTTTACATAAACCAACAGATGAATTTTATATGGGTACGGCGTAGAAAAAGTTTTTGTTTTTACTGAACTAAATTAGATAAAATTTTGTTCCTAAGACTTTTTTTTAGCATTTTCTATAAATAAGACAATGTCTACCAATATTTATTTTTCTTTGAATAATCCTGCACAGTTACTGTTTTGAGGGTAAAATACGTTATAAAAATATTTCAAGATTATAATTTTTATTATGTAACATAAAATGTTTTAAAGACTTGTCTTTTTTTTATTTACAATTTGTGTTTTTTCTAACTTTTCCATTTTCCAACCACATTTTTTGTTTTATTTTTACATTTAATTTTTTGGATGTTTTAAGATTTACGCCCATCATCAGCATCCGATTTTAAAAAAATTTAAATTTTTCATTATGTACAGTTTCTTTTAAAAGATATATGAATAGAATAGAATAGAAATGCTTTTTATTTCTTTTCCTCAAAATAACAACATACAAATATGAACTGTACAAAAAGCATACCCTTTTGAGATATCATCAGTCTGCGGAAATTGGCACGCATAGTATATATATAATATATGTAAGAGGCATAGAATCCTATATTAAATCGACTACAGAAAAAATAACAACATATATAAACAATTTCTCAAATGTAACAAATATATTAGTTTAATATATGTCCATAGCCCATTTACAGCACACAACTATTAATAAATATATAAATATTGTGTACAGTACTCAAATAACTTTCACAAAATAAATAAACTTTGAATACCATTAACGAGAATAAGTAAATAAACAGATGAATAAATAAATAGTTAACTATATTAATTTAATAATTAAATTCTTGTGGCATTTGATTTATATATTTTAATGCATCTATTACATAATTGTACAGGTCATGCAAATTTCGTCCATTTAAATATTCGAGAAATGTATTCCAATTTATTTCGAATGCATGTAAAAAAGTTTTGCTGTACCGCAGAATTTGGCAGATACATACAAAATGGAAGAGAGTTTCATCTGCTAGCATATTGCAGAGAGAACACTTATGCCTCTCCTCGCTTCTAGTGTATGAACAATTTAAATTTAACATTTCACTTCTGGTTTTCATTATTATAGACAAAATCCACCTTCGAGAACTGTCTTTTAAACATGTGTTTTCCCCTAAGCCGGTGTTAACTTTGTATAATAAATGAAAACGCCTGCGCTCTCTCCTCCAAATGAGACCATGACTGAACTCTAGATTTAAATCTTCTAGAAAGTTATTTACATGTATGCTATTTTTTTTGTTGATAAAATTTTATGATGTCATATCTCATTTTTATACATTTGTTAACTAAC